TCTCAGGTTTTGAGAATGGTGTCATGGAGGTGGTGTTTGGGTTAGTCTGAAAAAAAATGCCTCTGGTTTCATTGAGAGGTGGGGTTCAAATGTCTGTGGCATTATGGTTGCCATCTTGGACAGGAATGGCAGTAGTATGTCTAGGTTGGCATCTCACACTTTCTGGAAAGGAGTTTGACATCCTGGTTGGATTTTGGTTTTTCACCCGTGCCTGCATTAACAAGACCGAGAGCAGCAAATGGGAGATCTTCTATTACCTGGAGTGATGTGGAAGATAGATCTGAAGCATGTAGCCAAGTATGTCATCTAATGGATACGGCATGTGTCATAATCTTCCCAGCTGCATCCACCATATGTTACACCATTTGTATTTGGTGGTATGCTAGGGACATTATTTCTTGTCTTAGTGTAGAGAACACCGACTAATCTTCTGAAAGTTTGGCATGGAAGAGGGCTACTTCTCTCAGAGATATTCCTGGTATACTCCCATGCAGGCTCCATAGTTTGCGACTCTAGTGAGAAGAGAAGCTCCTTCTTGCCACTGTGTCAAAAATTTTGTCCTCCCTATCTGATGGGTTAGATTTTGATTTCAAGGAGAATTGTGACATGTGACATCTCAACGATGACTGAGGTAGGCTGGTGGCGGTGCGCAAGCCATTCATGATCCTCAACATCTATCCAATACCAGGCCTCTATCTTCTTTCATATAGAAGAAACTGGTGAAGGGGTCTTCTAGGAGGCCTTTAGGGCTTTAAGGGGGTACATCAGAAATGGAAGCAGGGTGGCTGGTGGTGCTTAGCTTTAAACCCTTTAAAGAAAGGATCATACACAACTTCCAATGATTGGTTTACTTCTAAACCTAAGGCTTCTACCAAATGGACTATCTATTCCGTAAATGGTTGGAGATCGGCCATGGGAGATAGGTGGTTGACAAGGGTAACTTGTCTCTCCAGGTACAAGTTGATTCCAAGGGAAAGGACCGATTCTGAAGATTCGGAATCAGAAACGTTGGGGGTGTTGTACGGCTCATCCATTTCAGATTACCGTGCTGTAGGTAATGTTGGTTGTACCAAGGCTATGCCACGGAGAGGGAAGCTGTTCTCCAAGATGGATCAGGCAGCAGTACCAGCAGAGATAATGGGGATGATACTGACGTCTGGCACCTACCTGCTGAATCTACATAGGTTTGTCCTGCTCTCGTTAGGAATGCTGTCATCCATCCTCCATCTTCATGCTGTGGAATGCCCTCCTTCTGAGTGGGGGAAAGTTACAGATGGCAGGATCCCTGTGTAGCTGGGGGTGCATGAACCATTACTAGAACTGAATAATGGTAATGAAATGATTGTGATGGGGAGTCCTGAACTGTCCCTCCAGATAGTGGCTGAGGCATCACCTGGAGGTCTGGTGAGGGTTGTGACACTTGTACTGCCTTCAGATTCTTACTCTGTGTTGGAGGAATGGACAATAGGTTCCCCTGTGACAGTCTGTCATGGTGGGTTCATCTCAACTCAGGTAAGCGTTTTAGAGCAGTACTCATAGAGGAAGAAGATGATGCATTCCAAAATTGATAGCATCCATCTAGCAGTAACTATCAAGGCCAAGGTAGATAGAGCCACCGACAAGGCTGATTGTTTTGATATTATGTTTTTGAAGTCTTCAAGGACTTGCATGAAGTTTCAGATAGTGTAGTTGAGTTTTTGCTATTAGTATGTTGTAAACCACCTTGAGTCCCCCCAAGGATAAGAAAGGCAGTATATAAACATAGTAAATAAATAAATAAATACATTGAAGTAGATGGTGCCAGAGTCTATTGATAGTAGACTGCATGAAGCCTCATCTCTCTAATTTTTTTCTGGCTTGTGCTGTGAATGCTTGGCAATGCGGGCATGTACTGACCACATGGCTTTCTTCCAGGCATTGGAGGCATTTAGAGTGGTCATCAGAGTCCGACATTTTAGCAAAGCACTGGTTGCATCTTTTGAAGCATGTATTCGACATGGTGGGAGTTGCTGGGTGCAAATAGCTGCAGGAAGCACTGAGCTGAAGTCATAATGAACTGCTGTAGCTCTGGACGAAAAGGAACTGGGGAACCAATGGAACAAGGCATCCTTTATACCCTGAGAGGAGTGAGCGGGATAACTGTCAAAATTCAAACACTAGAGCTGGGAAAGGTTTCCATTCAAGCCGGAGCAGTCACAGTAAACCCAGTTGTGTGGTTCACAAAAGTCACAAAGAAGAAACAAAACCACATTTTCAACCAGCATTAGCATACACCAACTGAGGTCCAACTTAGGACTCAAATGTTGCTTACAATTCCAAATTTTAGTCAAAAAAGCGACACAAAATACCTGGGTCAACTTATCCATGGGTCAATATAAGTATTGTACCCTAAGTTTTATCAAAAAAGGAACCATTCCTTTTTCTGAGTAGAGTGGCAAAAGACAAGAGTTTATCCTGTCCTGGGGGAATATAAAAGAAACACTCTGCTCTTTCTGCTGTGGCGCTGCTCCTGGCCTTTTTGCCTGAGCGTGGCAATGGTCAAGGGTAGTTGTCCCTCTGAGACAGTATTGGTGCTTTTTCTTCTCTATGGGTCATATCAAAATCTGTATTTTTGGTCCAAATATCTACCTTCACCTTATACATGTGGTCGCTTTATATAGCTTGTTAACCAGGCATTCACCAAACTCCCAATTTCATTCATAACTGCTATTTTAAATGCTACATTCACATATGTCCTGGTGAAAGATTCTTTCTGGAAATTTGTTATGACAAAATAATGATGATGATAATGATAATGAATGTATTATCTGCCTCTCCCTCTGGATCAAGGAGGGATACAACATCATTAAAACAAGAGATAAAACACTATTAAAAGGCATACAACACTATACACAGTTAGATACAAGTTAAAATCCATTAATAAAATCCAAATTAAAATGCATAATTTAAAATTGATCAGGCAGGCCTGCCAGAAGGTATCTTAAATTCCAACAGCTGATCTAGTTGTCGAATCTTTTCCGCCAGGTCATTCCACAGTCTTGCCAGTGATACAACTCTTCCTCGTGGACAGAATCTAAATAGCCTCCATAAATTTCAATCTTGCTAAGTCTGTCGTTTCCTAATCTAGCAATCCTAGCGACTAAACAAAGATACACACTCCTATAGTACTCCTTTTAGGAATCATCTGCGATACCAAATAGAAATGTTACAACATCCCAGGAATGATTATCCTACAGTTCAACAGCCAAATCATGCTCTTATTGCAGCAATGAATGTAACACATAGAAGTATGACAAAAATGAATTAATATGCAACACATTAATTAAAGCCCTCTGAATTATTGAAGTTGTTTACCTGAAAGCAAGTTGCATTCAAATATGTGGAATTTGCTTCCAATTACTATGTTAGAAACTATCACTTTTATGTGCAATTAACAGCTGAAGCAGCCATGACTTCAACACAAAGTTCACAGAACTTGTAAAATATATATGTCCACAAACATAACATTCTGTATTAATTTAGGAAGATTTAACCAGTTTGGCATTTCACATGTCAAAACCATTCCAGTGTCAAAATGAAAATACAAAGAGAAGAAAAAGTGAAGCCAGTCCAGAAAATTTTACTGTTGGCAACACTCAACATGGCAATTTCAAAAAAAGCAATTAAATCTTGAAGACCATATTAGTTATTAGGAAACACAATTAAAATCATACGGTGAAGGAAGTGTGTTGAAGAAACACACATTACTCATTTCCAAAAAGGTACAGAAATCTACACTGGGTTTGTTTCTGCTAGGACCACAAAGAACCTTACTGGCAAATATTTGAAAACAAGAGAAGGAAAGCAATACTTTTCCACTTAGATAAATTTGTTCAGGAAGCAGAAGATCCAGAGATATGTGCCAAGAGCAAATACAGTACACATAAGCCATTCGGACTTCACTATCACATCATATGGCCTGAGATGGTGCACAAATAACATCTTGCAATAAATATACTATATTGCAAGGGAATAAAGGTTGATCACCAACCACCTACATTCAACAAAAATATATATGACATTATTATCTTATTAATGATGCTATGATTTTACTGTAACAGAAATTATCTACTTCTTTGAAATACAGATCAAAAACTACTGGACTACAGTTTATTTTGATATATGTTTTAGTTGTAAATTGGTTTGTTTATATGCATTTTTTGCTTCCAGCTGCCATTCAAAAACTGGACAGCTTTCTGAAACACAAATATTGACCTTTTATTCACAATTCTAGTGGGACAATGATCTACCTTTTAAAACGTCTAACACTGCAGCAAGATCGGTTTTTCTCCTTAGCAGTAGTTCCAAAATGTGTTCCATGGCACCCTAGGGTTCAACAAAAGGATTGCAGGAGTTCCACAAAATCTTTTTTATAAATCCTTTTTAAAAGTCTGTGCTAGAGTATGAAGATTGTATTGAAATTCAAGTACCTCTATTTAAAAATGAGATTTGAATCTGTGCCACTGAATTATTTTTGGATAGGTCTGATAGGCATATAGCCATCAGTAGCCGGAAAGGCTATCTGAGCAATGCTTCCCTTCCTGTTCACCTATCAGTACAAATCAGGTTTTTCAGCTTATGCTTACACAAAAAACAAATTTATGAATAAGTTGATGGCACCCTGAATTTATGTATTCAGCTGTCGGAGATAAAGAACTATTTTAAGACCAAAAATTGAAACAATTTAATTCATCATTTTAGAGTTGTATCCAATATTTTCCTGTACCAAAATAAACATTTGTGGTTATATTTTAAAGGTTTTCTCTTTATTTCCAAACTTACTACATTACACAAAACATTTGAGCCACAGGAGAAGATGAAAGGAGAAAGAACTTCATGCTCAGGGACAGAGTTAAGGCTCCATAAGAGGGGGGGGGGGAGTTTCTGAAGGGTTTGGGAACCCATGCTCTATAGGGCTGGAAGAAGTTGTCAAAACAGTAAGAATCGTAATAATAGCTTACCCTCTTGCAGGATCTAAGGCAATTGCTCTGGGTTGATCCAACTCTTGCCAGAATAAAACTTTTCGCAAAGATCCATCTAAATTGGAAACTTCAATCCGGTTTGTTTCAGAATCTGTCCAATATAGTTTCTCACCCAGCCAATCACAAGCCAGCCCATCAGGTGACAACAGTCCAGAAATGACCACATTTTGCACATTCCCCGTTTTGTTGAATTCTGTCCGTTTAATGGCTTCCTCACTCACATCACTCCAATATATCAAGCCATGGATGAAGATGAAGTCCACTGCAGCTGCATCTTCCAAACCACTCACGACAATTGTAGCATTCTCGTTCACCTGTGCAGCATCCACCAGTCGTAGATCACGCCGATTTGCATATAGCAACAGAGGAGAAGCTTGAAAAGAAGAAAAAAACATTGAGGTAGGCTGTGTACATATGTAACACAATAAATATAAGAATTTATAGTTATTATAATATGTAATTTTGTGACAGCCACAGAAACAAAGTTTCTGGCATATAAATAACAACTACATTCAAAGTAAGTACCACATAATTAAAGAGGAATAACAATTTGAAATCAGGAACAGATAATTTTTCAAATTTTGTTACATAGTGTTATCTTTCTAGAGCAGTGGTTCTCAAACTGTGCTCCGCGAAACATACTGAGGAGCTCCTCTTGCCCCCTACTCCTCCTCCAAACTTTCCCTCCTCTTTCCTACTCTGCCCCTCTCCCTGCCTCTCTCACTGCCATGAGCCTTTCCCCATCTCTCTTGCTGCCAAAAGTCTTTCCCCCTCACCTTCCTTGCTTCTAAAACCCTATTTCCCTCCCACCACTCAGGAGGGGTTTGACTATGCTTTTCCTGCATTGCAAAAGGGAGTTGAACTGGATGGTCCCGGAAGTTTCTGCTATTATTATTATTATTATTATTATTATAAAGGCTGGGTGGTCATCTGTTGGGGGTGCTATGATTTGCTTTTCCTGCAAGCAGAAGGGGTTGGACTGGATAGTTCCTGGGGTCTTCCACTTAAATGCTGTTAAGTTTATGTTGGTTATTCTTCACAAATTTGCTCATGCCTGATATATATATACATTATATCTTAACATATAATATAATATAATATAATATAAAAACATTTATTGGGGTTCCACAACAAACATTTGCTTCAAAAAGGGCTCTGTGGCTGAAAATGTTTGAGATTCCCTGTTCTAGAGAAACAATGAATAATTAAAATTAGGTGATCATAATTATCAAGTACCACTAATAACACAATAGAATTCTAACATGTTCGTAAATAAGAATTCAGGAGTCAAACAACTGATTTGACACCAAAGGATGGTCAAAAGAAGGAAAATATTACACAATACTGTATAAACTACACATGAAATTTTCAAATGCTAGCAATAATCACTGGCTTAAATATGATTTTTTCAGCAAGATTAGACAAATTCCAAGCGGGCACATCTGTCAAAGGCTATTCCACAAGATAACTGTGTGAAATGAGCATGTACAGTATTATTCTTCTGACTATATACAGGGACAAGCAATAAGGGATGATTTTCACAGTCATCTGCCTAGCTAAGCAAGACTTTCTCTCAGTATGCCTCCTAAAATATAAAATTCAAAGCACAGTAAAATTTAAAGGATTTCTGGGCTGCTAAAATGGTGGGATGAAGCAAACAGAGCATGCTTATATATATAGATAGCTATGTTGGCTATGCTAAATAAAAACAAATAGAAAAATAGTGATAATTTTATAGAATCAACTAAAATGGACAAAGTATATCATGTAAGCTTTGGAAACTTGACTGGCTTCTTCATACAGGAGGGGGGAAAAGTGAAAATCAATATAGAAGCTACTCCCTTCTTGGTCATGTCAGGATTAGAGACAAAAGGCAATAAAATGCCACACTGATACTCCCCCAGTCCATCTCAAGTGGCAAGAGAAATAACATCTGAGGAAAAAATGTAGGTCTGTGACTAAACTTTGGCACCTTTCTTCTCTATTTTAACAAGTTTCTGATAAGCTTGCATGATATTTGTTGTGCATTTTAATTGGCTCAATGAAGTTATTGTTTTATGGTTTTTATGTGTTTTTAATTTTACTGTTGGATTTTATTATGCCTGTCACATAATATTAATTGGTTTGTTCTTCCATTGGTTGTTTTTTTTTTAAAAAAAAGGAATCATGGCTCATGTCTGAGATAAGTAAAAATAAACTGACTGCCCTCCACCCTGAGCAAATCATGAGGCAAGTGAGTCTGGATGGAGTGGTGGGTATTCTATTTCTTATAAACCTGTTTCCGAGATTTCTTTTAACTAGTATTACAGCTTCATTATTTTCTCCTCATAGCATGCATATTTTTTCCTATAAAAATACATCAGGGAATAATTTATGTAAAATTCATTTTTGGGTTTCTTCCAGTTGTGGTGTGCAATCACAGCTGCATTGCTCATAGCAATAACGCTGCACTGGGATGTTCCATAAATATTTGATAGTCCCTTGATGCATGATTGCGTGAGTAACATTTTTAAGAGGGGAGAAAAGGTAGAGAATAATTCTCCAGAGTCTGGTCGTGAATTCCAGCTGAAAATTTTTCAGTGCATGCATTTATTTCAGCCTCAACTTCACCACTTCTTACAGCAGTGTCTCATAATGACAAAATTCCCTAAAGAAGACTGCAAAAAGTAATGAATGGGACAATTAGCCTAATTAATATAAATCAATTGCAACAAAGCAAACTGGAGCATTAAAAAGACTGTATCTAAAAATGAATAGTATTAATGGGATAAACATGTATTTCAACAGGATTCCTACAGAATATGCTTATTACTGTGTCAGTTTGATACAGTGGTTTGAGTGTTGGGGCTATGACTCTGGAGTTGTTAATTGCCTTCAAGTCAACTTTGACTAATAATGACTCTTTAAATAAGACATCTAATTCTTTGGTTTTGCAGATTCAGGGATGTTGCTTCCTTGATTGAGTCTAACCATCTGGAAATGCATTCTTCCTCTTTTGTTACTTACTTTCTCAAGCATGGTTATCTTTTTTAAAATGCCATCTCTTTTCATTATGTTTTTAAAATACGACAGCCTAGGTTTTGCCATTTTGCCTTCTAGAGAAAGCTCAAGCTTGATTTGTTCTAGGATAAATTTATTTGTCTTTAGCAGTCCACAGTATCCACATAACTCTTCTCTATCAAAACACTTGATCTTTCTGTCAGCCTTTTTTCAATGTCCAGCTTTCACAACCATACACAGAATCAGGGAATACAATGGAACGAACCATCTTAATTTTAGTATTCAGTGATGTATTTTACACTTCATAATTTTGTCTGGTTACTGCCTAACTTCCCTTCCAAGTACTAGTCTTCTTTGATTTCTTGACTGTAGTCTACATTTTAGTTAATGGCTGAGCTGAGCTATGAAAAATCTTGAACTATTTCATCATCTAATTCATCATCTACTTACATGTGGTCATTAGTTTTGTTTTCTTATATGTGTATTTGCACTTTCTCCCTTGATTTTAAATAACCATTCTACATCTTTGCTATCTTCTGCTAGTAGTATGGTGTCATCTGCCTATCTTAACTTCTTGATGGCCCTTCCTCTAATTTTATGCCTCCTTCCTTCAAATCTAATCCTGCTTTATATATTATAAGTTCAGCATATAACTTAAAACAGATAGATGATAAAATGTAGCCTTGCCTGACCCTCCTCTCCTTACCATCTGGAAACCATTCTATTTCCTAGTATTCTGTCCTAACAGTAGCCTCATGCCCCGAGTACTGGTTATTAGGCCTGGGCGGTTTCGTTCGTTAATTTTGTAATTCGTTAAATATTCGTTATTTTTAGCATTTACGAAACGATAACAAAACACATTTTCAAACCCGGAAGGGTTTAAAAATAACGAACCGGCAACCCCCATAGTTTTAACGAGCTTCCGCCCGTTTCGTAAATGGGATGGAGGCTGCTGGTGCCCTGGGAGCCAATCCGGCGCTCCCAAGCACCCAAGCAGTGCACCGTGGCTGTTTCTGATTGGCCGGCGAGCCCTTTAAAAGCGGCTCCGCGCGGCCGTACAGCTCATTGCTGCAGAGGGCGAGGGAGAAGAGAAGAGGTCCGGGAGGGTTTGCATTGGGTTGGCTTGCAACTGCTTGGATTGGATTCATTCCTTGCTCATTCCTTGCTTGGATTCATTCCTTGCTGCTTAGTGCTTATTATTCCTTGCTTGGATTCATTCCTTCCTTCGGTTTTTGTGAATTTGTTTGTTAATTTTCCATTTTTAAATATTTTTTAATATTTTCTAAAAATACCTGTCTTTTATTCTTAAAAAAATACAAAAAATATTCTAAAAAAGAAAAGACTCTTCTGTTGCTGTGTGCTCTCATTTGCCCTGTCTCCTGCCTGTGTTTGGTCCACATCAGGGCCAGTTTTTGGTTAAGTTTCCATTTTTGAATATTTTTTAAAAATACCTGTCTTTTATTCTTAAAAAATACAAAAAATATTCTAAAAAAGAAAAGACTCTTCTGTTGCTGTGTGCTCTCATTTGCCCTGTCTCGTGCCTGTGTTTGGTCCACATCAGGGCCAGTTTTTGGTTAATTTTCCATTTTTGAATATTTTCTAAAAATACCTGCCTTTTATTCTTAAAAAATAAAAAATATTCTAAAAAAGAAAAGACTCTTCTGTTGCTGTGTGCTCTCCTTTGCCCTGTCTCCTGCCTGTGTTTGGTCCACATCAGGGCCAGTTTTTGGTTAAGTTTCCATTTTTGAATATTTTCTAAAAATACCTGCCTTTTATTCTTAAAAAATACAAAAAATATTCTAAAAAAGAAAAGACTCTTCTGTTGCTGTGTGCTCTCTTTGCCCTGTCTCGTGGCTGTGTTTGGTCCACATCAGGGCAGTTTTTGGTTAAGTTTCCATTTCTGAATATTTTCTAAAAATACCTGCCTTTTATTCTTAAAATAATACAAAAAATATTCTAAAAGAAAAGACTCTTCTGTTGCTGTGTGCTCTCATTTGCCCTGTCTCGTGGCTGTGTTTGGTCCACATCAGGGCCATTTTTTGGTTAAGTTTCCATTTCTGAATATTTTCTAAAAATACCTGCCTTTTATTCTTAAAAAAATACAAAAAATATTCTAAAAAAGAAAAGACTCTTCTGTTGGTGTGTGCTCTCATTTGCCCTGTCTCCTGCCTGTGTTAGCTCTACATCAGGGCCAGTTTTTGGTTAATTTTCCATTTCTTGAATATTTTCTAAAAATACCTGTCTTTTATTCTTAAAAAAAATACAAAAAATATTCTAAAAAAGAAAAGACTCTTCTGTTGTGTGTGCTCTCATTTGCCCTGTCTCGTGGCTGTGTTTGGTCCACATCAGGGCCAGTTTTTGGTTAAGTTTCCT